CTGGTGCCTCTGTAAATCCACCTTTTGTTGGAAGCCTTTGCCACACAGATCACAGCCAAAGGGCTTGAAGCCTGTGTGCTTCCAGCTGTGGGTGATGAGGTGGGAGCTCTGACGAAAGGCTTTTCCACACACCTGGCACTTGTGAGGCTTCTCACCTGCAAGCAGAAGGTGGGAAAACGAGAGAGTGTGTGAAAGAGGCCTCATGCTGCTTACATGGGACCACAGCGAACAGCAAATGCACACTGGGCCTTACAGCTTGTTAAACAGACTCCTGTGTGATTACCTAAGAAGTCACTCTTACAAAAAAACCTGCAGTTGGAAGCCTCAAAGCATTAGTTGAGCCTGCACTAAAGCTGAGCAGGCCTGGATTTGGATGCACCTCCATCACCCCAGTACAGTCCTGCGAGCAGTCTGAAGCACAGAGTGCTCTCAGGATGCCACACTTTGTGAACATATTTGGCTGCACGGGCTCTGTCCAATTTCAACTGCTTTTGTGCCCCAGCAACGGGAGGAACTCCTTGAAAAGTGATGAATGCATGACGTGGATTACTATACCATCAGCATAGGGGCAGGTAGGGGGAGGTTAAGACCAACCCGGTGAGCTGGGATCTGTCCCCAGGGGAGGTATTAGGGCCATTCAGTGAGCCCTGCAGGGCAGGGTTTATCCAGACATCTGTTCTTCTCTCTGTTCCCCACACTGAAATGCTAGCAGTCACAGCCTTGAAGTTCTCCTGAAGGCAGATAATGTAAATGGGAATAAACACAGCCTCTGGAACTTCTGCAGAGCACTCAGTGGCAAAACTCCACTGGTGTCCATGGGAGCAGGGTCTCAGTGTATTTTCATAGTGTTTATTATCAAATAACGAATAAAAGGGAACCCAACCACAACACCAAGCCGGATTTTCAGAGTGGCTTTGCACCTGCATGGCCCACTGACTTCAGCTGGAGCAACAAACTCTCTGGATGTTTGAAGATCAGATTCTTAGAATCATAAAATAACACAAAATGTGCTGAAGCCTCAGTTCACAAGTATATGCCCCATAGGAAAGGAGTCCCTATTTCAGTTAAGGACCTGGTTTGACATTAGCAGTTTAAAAGCCCAGGCACAGTTTCTGATCTCATAACAAAACAATGGGTTTGACTGATTCAGAATTTGGCTGAAATTCTAGTTAATCAAGCCTCATTTGAAAAAGTTATTATGAAAATACTTGTGTTGCTTCTAAATGGTTCATTTTCATCCAGCAACCATCTCGTGGAAAATCTTTATAAGTAACATTTATTGCTCACTGTTTATCACCTAGAAAAGTCACAGTCAAGCAGCACTACACATAGTGCCGTCTTTCTACATAGTTGTCATTTTTAGGCTTCACCCTTGATATCTGCTAGTGGACACTATCAGGAAAAAGGATTTTTGTCATCTGAACCTTGGGTTTGGCCAGTAAAGCTGTTATTTCATGTCTCCAAATTCTTTCATATCTCACATATCATTCATTTCCCTCTACTTTAAGTGAATGGTGCAGGTCTGA